TGAATTCTGTTTTCTTGGCAACACCTGGAAAGGACAGAAATTGTAGTGAGTAGCTGTCTCTAAGAATTTAGTCGATGCTGTCATGGAAACCACCTTTGCTGTGTTTTGGAGAAAACCTCCTAACTTCCCTTTTCCTGTTTTCATCTTTGGCCTTCCTGACATGTACCACAGTCTCCTCCAGCATCCAATGCCTTCCCCAGAGTCTACAACCAACCATGTCCCTACATCCAATGCTGGCTCCTTCAGGCTTTCTTCCCACTTCCCATACCCAACACTTACCCATTCCAATGGCAGCCATCTTGCCTTAGACACCACTAGAGTTAAGACTGGGAACAGTCCTCCTATGGACTCTTGGAGTTCGGAGAATTTAGGGAAACTGAGTTTCATTCAGCTGATCAATGACTGTGTCTCCTGGAGTCCCTAGCATTGTTAACATGCACCCCTATGCCCAACCAGGGTCCCAGCACCACAAATTAGCCCTTCTCTTGCTTCTTACAGCCTGTGTCTGCCCTCCTTTAGCTAATTTTTTTAAACATTTCTTGTTTTTGCATTTAGGAGGATGCTTTGAATACAAACAGGGATACCAGGCCCTTTGGGATGAAACCGAATGCTTGGTCTATCAGTGCCAATCACTCAGTAATAGAACTGGTTCCATTTCCTGTGCAACGTTTGTGAGAAAAATTCCTCTTTGAAATTTGTCAGATGGAAAATTTCCCACAAGAATTTTTTCTAAATCAAATGAAACAAATATTTTCATTTTGTTTTGACTGCAAATGATTTCTTTCCGTTTTGAAAACCAAAAAATAGTTTTCCATTTTCAGGATTCTGCATTCCCCCCCCCCCTCCTTTTTTTCCCCATTTTTTCCTCTCCCTCTTTTTCCCCCCGCACCGGAAAAGGTTAAAAAGGGTGAATGTGACATGAAGCCCCATCTTCACACAATTGTTCTCAACTGGGAAACGTTGTGACAGTGAGAACGCGTTAGAAAAATAGGAAACAAGAATATTATTTCCGGCAAGGGAGAAACAGGAACAGTTTTTGATAAAAAAAAAATTAAACCAATCCTACTCTCTTTGAAAGTGTCCTGCATGGAATTTCTGGCACTGAAGGCAGAGAGCACCCGCTCTGAAAGTCTCTAGTGTGACAGTGTGTGGGGGAGGATATTTTTTTAAGACACAATCACACCATCTTCTTATTTGCACTTCCCCTGAGCCAAATGCATCCAGCCCAGTTTCTCTCTGTCCTTAAAGTCTTTTGCTTTGTTAACAATTACTATTTTATCTAAGCAGGATCAATGTTTTGCTAATAGGCAGTGCAGTTGTAGCCATGTCGTCCCAGGATATTAGCACAACAAGGTGGGTGAGAGGATATCTTTTATTGAGCCAACTTCTGTTGGTCAGAGAGACAAGCTTTCGAGCCACACAGAGCTCTTCTTCGTGTCTGGGAATGGTACTCCGAGCATCCGAGCTAAATGCAAGGTGGAACAGATTGTTTAGCATAAGTAGTTAGCATATATTCTAAGGGACCACTCCAGTCTATATATGGAAGAACACTTAGGAAAAGGAAGGGATTCTGTAACCCTTCTGCCAGGTGGAGCCAGCAGCAACCAGGGCCGGGTTCAATGTCTAGGGGTTCCTTTTCAACAATAAAACACAGAAAATGGCTCGAGCCCCCACCCGGTAACCTGGGACAATTATACACCATCCCTTGGGTGCCTCTAGAGGCAATTCTTCCCCTCTCACAGGCACAGAGTCTGAGTGTAGAAAAGAAACTTTTAATAGAAGGAGGGAATTTGGGAAAACGCCGCAAGCAGGCATCATAAGCATAAAACCATGAACAAAAGACTCAGGGTCTTAAATCCAGCAACCAAAAGTTTCTTTAACACGCCCCTCCCTTCGTTGCACCCCACTCACAGTTGTTGTCCTCTGTCAGTGCAGACCCAGAGTTCAGAGATGTAGCTGCAGAGTTCACCTCCCACCCTGGCTGGGGTGGGAAGCACCCGGCTTGCTCTGCTGTCAGAGCCCTTACTCACCACTCCGCTCGCTGACCTGCTCTGCCTGCCATTCTGGGATGTCTTGAGGTCCCACCGCTTAACACAGCGCTCACTGATTTCAGCTGTTAGCATCTCACTCCTAATGCACAGTTTCTTGTATCAGAGACACTGTCCCAAGGCAGGTTACTGATTATCGGTGATTTCAGCTCTAGGACATATAACAAAATTCTTAATCTGCTCTGTTATTTCACAGTGGAGAAAAGAAGGGTCAGATGGTGTTTAGTCCCTTCAGGCAGGAGAGCTCATGCAGACCCTGTTTACATATCTGAGTGAGTAGTGTTCACTCATCCTTACTGGTGTCTGTATCAGCAAAGAGACTGAATCCTCTTTTCTAGAGACTTCTGAATGAGGTACACAACATGGCAAGTATAGATGCCCTAAAAATAGATCATGAATCAGGCTAATTACGCTCTCTGTTGCCTACATATGTCTTATAACTATTGCCAAAGAAGAGCTTCATGAAAACACTATGCGGTAGTTAGTAATTTTGCCTAACGCTGGCAAAATCCCTGGGAATAAAAGTAAGTATCTGAAAGCCAATGACAATGCTTTCATAGATAAATGATGGAAAGAGTTAATGGAGCTCTGATGTCTAGTCTGATTTTTGAGGAGTCTCCCGATGCTTTGGACCTTCCAAATCTTGGCCATTGGTTTTTGTATGTTGATTTCAAAGTGAATAAAGCCTCATTCTCTTGTAGCTCAGCCGTGTGTAACCTAGAGTTGGGGACATATTCTAGGCCTCTCAGAGAGTAAGAATGGTGGGAATACTGGCTACTATCCTGCCGATCTCAGCTTTGCCACGTGGGAAGAGACAAAATCTTCCCAAGCGCCAGTGGCTCCGGCAGTGTTAGCAGGGAAGCATCATCCATTTCTTCCAGCGTGGAGGACAATTGGCAGGTGCCATGGGGATCAGGACCGGCGCTTCCATTTAGGCGACCTAGGCGGTCGCCTAGGGCACCAGGATTTAGAGGAGTGGCATTTTGCCGCCCTCGGAGGCAATTCGGCGGCAGGGGGTCCTTCCGCGCTCCGGGTGTTCGGCGGCAATTCTGCGGCGGGTCCTTCACTCGCTCCACGACCCGCCGCCGAAGTGCCCCGAAGACCGGGAGCGCAGAAGAACCCACCGACGCAGAATTGTCGACGAAGACCGGAAGCGCGGAAGGACCCCTGCCTAGGGCGCCAAAAACTCTGGCGCAGCTCCTGATGGGGAGAAGCATTGTCAGACTCAGCAAAGGAAGGAGAAATAGCTACTGAGATGAAGTAGAATGAGCAAGAGATAAAAGAGAATCTTTTTATGGTAAACCTGCTGATTGCACAGATGAGGAGCAAGGATGTAATGGAGACACAGTAACGTGCACAAAGAAAGCCCTTCTCTAAAGCCTACTGATAGATACTGCCCAGTCACACAAAACCTGAAAGCAGATGGAGTATTTCACTGCTGACAGCTCAGCACACCAAACCCACAAGGAATACAGCTCCTAGTAGCCCCACCCAAAATTTTTTTTACACCCAACAGGACAAGTTCAAAGCTAGGCACTCAGACTGTGTTTCTTTCCTCTGCTCTTCTACAGCAGAAAGCAGCCCTCACAGAACAGCACTCTCTGCCATAATCATGCTCAGAAAGAAACACTGCAGATCCTCATCGTGGTTAGCAAGGCCAAACTTTTACAACCACCCTTCTCCAGTCACCAACTAGAGAAATGATCCC